AATACTTGAATTTTTTTAACCGTTGAAACCAGCAGAAACTGACAGATCAGTCGTATATAACAAATCTGCCAAATCTGCCATATCTGCCAAATAGGATATACATAATATTTATTATATTTTTATTATTTTTATTACTATTATCATTTATATCATACCTAATATAATTAGCATATTTGTTAGCTCTGTTATTATTGTTAGTAGTATCATATTTACCATAGATTTTCTTAATTATAATTTTCCTATATAAAGGGCATGAAAATGCCTTGGAAAAAGGACAGATTCCAGATAGATTCCAACAAGATTCCAATAGATTCCAACAAGTTCTTAACATTATATTTAAAATACATTTAATAACACTAATAAACACTCTTAACATTTTGCAAATATAAAACTGATAATTTTTTTTTATTAACTAAATAAACTCTAATAAACAGCGTGTCAAGTTGATTGAATTTAAGTCATAGCTATTACCTCTCTGACTTTAAATCATAGTTAACTTATTTGACGAAAAGAGTAACGTTAACAAGTGATGATTCCTATCAGGTTACTATTGACTTCATACATAACGGACTGCTAACAGATATAGCGAGATATATAAAAGTTTAAGAAAAGAGAATTAAGAAACAGAGATAATTTTATATATAATGAACCGCTGATGAAATAGCATGGTGTATGAATTTTAAAACAATCGAGAGAAATACAGTAGAACGTATTATAAAATATTATTTAAACTCCCCCCTTAACGAAGACTATACTTGTAATTGGTGTTATTCACCCTTCCATTTAATACACTTTCAAATAATTTTCAAAATTTTTGGAATTGGTTTCATTACGAATATCAGGCTGAAACTTATACAGCAAAATCAGTTATTGCCTTCAACCTATTTGAACAATTAAGTAATATCTCAGTATCAGAATATCGTAATAGTTGATTAATTAAGATAATTTATCAGTTGCTTTCTAGTCTTCGATATAGGACTATACCTTTTTCATTAGACGTAATATATTTGTATGTCCAAGGTATTTCTTTCGAAACAAATTACTTCTAATAATCTGTTAATCAATCCATTTCATTAAAAGTATACATAGAAATCCTTAACCAGAATTTGATACAAATTCAAAAAGACCAACAATTACTTTGATAACTAATTGCCTCTCCAGTACCCTCTGCAACTAGTTTATCTACAACCCCAGTTACTACCCTCTACCAGAAGCAATAATGGCAGCTACTGGTAAACAAATAAGATTAGCTCTCAAAGGAATTTTTGAAATAGATGAAGCTCGACTGAATGCATTAGAACAAACTGAACGAACTACAGCAAAGGTTGATTACTTTTATGGCACTGAAGCCAAAGATTCTGTAGAATAGCTTGCTACCTTTGAAAAAGCTACCACTATTAACTGATGGATTGATGCTACAAAAAAGAAGGTCATAGCTGAAGGATATTTAAAAGGAGCTGCAGCTAACTGGTTTAAAGAAAATACAGTAACCATAGGAGATAATTGGGTTATAACTACAAATAGTGGAAATAATTTCATGGATATGTTCAATACCAGGTTTATCAACAAAATCCGAAAGAATCAATAGTATTAGGAGTTAACTTCCTTATAACAACATTCAGACAAATCAGTGAATTCTTACACTAATAAATTTTGTAAATTAGTAAAAAGAGTAGGATTGACTGATAATGCCTAACATAAATGAATGTTTCTCATGGAATTAAATTCAGCTTATACCCTGATGATGTATGCACAAAATCCCAACGATTTGGCTGCCATAGTAAATGCCGCTAGAAATATCAAAATCAGATATAATTTCGCTACTGGAAAAACTTTAAAGGATATTAGTGTAACACCCTTTACTTTCACTCTTGCTCCATCAAAACCCATCCCAGTTGTTAGTACTGAAATAGATGAACTCACAAAGAAATTGAAACAACTTACCATAAATTATGTCAATTTATCCTCAGCAATGCTAGCTCATCCACTAACTCTGAAAATAAGAAACAGACCTAATGAAACTACTTATACGCCTCAAAATATTGGACCTAATACTAATGCTTATTAACCTCAAAATACTAGACCCAATGATTTTACCTACTATAATTGCAATGCTCCAGAACATATTGCGAGAAATTGTACTCAGCCTTGAAAATATCGCCAAGATAATCATAGATCCCATTTTAGCAAAACTAGAGAAATGCATTTAGCTGATCAATATTTTGACAAAGAATATAACAACTACGGCTATGAAACGAATGAAAATAAAGAGTATAAAGTTTACCTGAACACTTGATCAAGACCATACCCTAATAATTCAACGTCTAAAAACTGAAGGATTAAACGCGTGAAGTCTCAAAGAGAAGAGAATTTTAGAAGGTTTCCTAAATTAACAGTTATACCAAATCTCATTAAAGAGTTCATACAAACGAATTCCGCCCTAATGCAAACTGAAGTTTCTAGTAATCCTAAAAATATAAAAAGAAGATTAATACGTGCTCTGATTGAATAACTAACAGAATTCAATATCGCAATTTACCTCCAGAACCTTTCATGCAGATTATCAGTTAGACAAACTGCTCACACCATTCCAAATTATCATTCCAGTCTAGCTAGGGCCATAAGGAAATCCAGAAAAAAGCTTCCAAAGAATCCAAGAAAGCTAATCTAGCCAAAAATGATGATGAGTCCACTTTCGCAGCTAAATATACTCTGTGAATCAGAAGAAAAACCCAAACTGTTATAATTAATAGCAGCACAGCTACGAACATTATTACAAAAACTTTGCTGAATAAGTTAGGTTATGAAATCGATCAAGCCTCAAAAATGATTGTAGTCACAGCAAATGGAGCTAGGACTCGCTTCTTAGAAATTGTAAACGATGTTCCAGTAGTAATAAAAAGAATCAAAATTCTGATTTCCTTCTAAGTTTTGGAATCAAGAAACAAAATCTTAATTCTATGTAACAATTGGCTCTGAAATTTAAATGCCAACATGAACTGGGAAATATCCACCTTGACCATTAGGAAAGATCAGACCATTATTTGAATCCTGATTACCTTCACGAAAACTTCAAAAGTGGTAACTTACGATGCATTGAAAGAAATTTCAGAAGATGAATACAAAGAGGAATGCCTCGAAGAAATGCTGATTTATTTCTCTGATTCCTCTGAAGAAGATTCAGCTGACCAAGATGAACTGGAATTTAACCCATGAATAAACTTTTACTTTCCAGAAAGTTCTGAAGCCAAAACAGAGGATGACGATGATATCGATTTGATAAATGCCAACAAAATCTAGCTGTATTTTTAGCTAAAACTATCCAAGACGAACCTGTACCTATAAATTAAATCAAATCTCTGGATCATCAACAAGAACTCTTTCAAGCCCTTCTAAACGACTATTCTGATATTTGTGCTAAGAGCCAGATTAGGATCAGAAGAATGAATTTAATTAGACATCAGATTTAATTGGTGATGTTTCGCCTATTGCACAAATCCTGTATCGAACTAATTTAAAGAACTAGAAATTCCTTAAGAACGAAATAGTTAAAATGGAAGAACAGGAGATAGTTCTCAAATCTTCAAGCCCTTGGGCTTCGCCTGTAATAATTGTAGATAAGAAAGGTGTGACAAAAGAATTTGCATAGACTATCGTAAATTAAATGTGATTACAAAAGCTGACGCTTATCCTTTACCCTGAATCGATGACTTATTAGAAAGTTTTAGAGCTACCCAATGGTTTACTATATTAGATTTAGCAAGTAGATACTGGCAAGTAGCTATAGATAAAGTGGATATAGAGAAAACAGTATTTATAACTCCTTTCAGGCTATACAAATTCTTAGTAATGCCTTTCAGACTAAGCTATGTACCTGAAACCTTCTAAAGATTAATAAATAAAGTCTTACAAGACTTTTTCGGAGATTTCATTGCTGTATATTTAGACGATATCATAATTTATTCAAAAGGGAGTTTTGAAATGCATATAGACCATATATGCTAAGTATTCTAAGCTATTCAACGTGCAAATTTAAAAATTAAGTTAAAGAAGTGCTATTTTTATTTACTTAATATCCATTTCCTAGGACATGTAGTAGGACAAAATAGAATTCGCCCAGACTTGAAAAAATAGTTAAAGTCAAGAATTTTTCAAGACCAACGAATCTTATACAACTCTGTGCTACTTTAGAATTATTTTCATATTATCAGAAGTTTATAAAGGATTTTTCAAGGATAGCCTGACCTATGTTTACTTTATTAAAAAAAGATGAGCCCTTTCTTTGGAGAGATAAACAATAAATAGAATTTGATCGACTAAAAGAAATGCTAATCAAAGCTCTGATCTTAAGTTATCCCGATTTTAATAAGCCCTTTATTATCTATACAGATATATCTAGGATAGGTTTAGGAGCTGTTCTCTTACAAGAGCAAACAGATGGGAAAGAACATGTTATTGCCTATGCAAATCGAAGTCTAAACTCAGCTGAAAAGAATTATGCCATAACTGATCAAGAATATTTAGCAGTTGTGTCAGCCATAAGACACTTCCAACATTATTTAAACATGAAACTTTTTGTACTTGTAACCAATCATTCAGCTTTGAAATGGTTACAAACTTCTAAATTACCTAAAGGTCGAAGAGCAAGATGGATAATGGAGCTACAATAATATGAATTTACTATTAAATATAGGCCTGGAAAGGCTAATGCAAATGCTGATGCACTATCGTGAATACCAGATGAAACAGAAGTCTTTTTCTTGAACTTTGAATCAGATATAGAAACTGGCTATAATTCCTCTATTTAAAATAACTATATTACAGATAGTCCATCTCATTCTGAGAAAAATAATGAATATGAAACTGAATGATTCATTTCAAATCCTTCCTATAGTCAGGACCAAATGTTAGAAAATGAACTTTTTAATGACTAGTTTAAGCCTATAATTACTACTGTAGGATATCAATCCTCACCTGAAGAAATGCAGGATATATATAAAATGAACATAAAAATTAAACAAGTGATAGCAGGACAACCCATAAATAATGGAGGATCTAGATATAATTATTCCTGTGATATAGAAAACTATCACTTGCATACATACTGTAAAGCTTGTAAGACCAATTTGCCTTACAACACTATTAAACACAAATGTGTAATTAGATACAAACTAGGTCAAATCCAACCAGACATGGATCTAAGATATTTAGAAAATCAAGTATAGTGGGATGAGCCGATAGAAGTTAAAGCCCAATCATTAGAAACTCAAATGCAAGTATTACATAGAACACTTCAAGGACTCCCCTTTTACCTCACCTCTCTTGAACATATTTAACCTGAGTTTTCTGAATTAGATTAAATATTTTTCTTTATTATTTTTTTTTGCCTTCATTACTTAGGGTGAAAGCGAAAGTGTATGCAGTGTAATATATAGCCCATCATAGATATTAATCAATATAATCATATTTACTCTTATCTTACACAACAAATTATTCTCACTGAATTAATATCCCCCAAATCTATCAAATAATTTAAAAATTTTTGCATACCTTATACAGTTCAAAATAATTATTTATATAGAAATGACAAAAGAAACCCTGGAAAGTTATTAAGGGTAATTAAAACTCATGAAATAGAAGCTATTTTATATATGATGCATAATGATCTAACAGCTGGACATTTTGCTACTGATATTATGTTTGATAAAATTAGAAAAAGATATTATTAGCCTCAAATGTATGAAAATATTCATGCATATGTTAAAAGCTATGACAAATGCCAAAGAAGAGGAAAACCAAGTAAACATGAAGATTTACATCCAATTGCAATACAAGCATCTTTCTATCAAATCGGAATTGACTTTGTAAAACTTCTACCTATAACAGACAAAGGAAATAAGTATATTATAGTAGCTATTGATTATTTTACTAAGTGGCCAGAGGTAAAGGCTGTACCAGAAGCAACTGCTTCTCAAGTAGTTCAATTTATTTATGAAGAAATTATTTGCAGACATGAATGCCCAATGAAGATATTAACTGATAGAGAAACCCATTTTAATAACCAAATGGTAAATGAGTTGATAAATAAATTTAAGATAAAACATCTTTTATCAACTTCTTATCATCCTTAAACCAATGGTCTAGTGGAAAGATTTAATAAAACTCTATGTGAATCTTTAGCTAAAACTGCCCAAGAAATTTCAAATTGGGATTTGCAAATTGCACCCACATTATTTGCATATCAAACTTCCAAATAATCAACAACCAAGATATCTCCCTTTTATTTAACATATGGAAGAAATAAACAATTATCTCTTGATGAACCAATTGAAGAAAATGTGACTCTAAATCAACATATAGAATCCTTAGGAATGATTTACCGCAAATCAGAGGAAAAGCTAAAAACCATGTGGAAAAATCACAAGTAAATCAGAAAGATTGACATGATTATAACCTAAAGAAGATCTTTCATTCTAAAATAAAGGACAAAGTTTTATATTACCATGTGGCAAAAGAAAAGCAATGCTCTGAAAAACTAGAACAAAATAGAAAGGACCATACTATATTCATCAAATTTTATTAAATGGATCTTACAAAATAAGAGAAATGATTGGAAAAGTTTTACAAACACCTGTTAATAGAGATCTTTTAAAACAATATCATGATCGACAAAATTGGAAACCTCAAATAGTTATATAGTTCACCTATTCCTTTTATCATTTATTTTATTTTTTTTTCTCTTCTCTTCTCTATTATTTTTTTTTTATTGTTATTATTTTATTTTTTTTTATTATTATGTAATTAGAAGATTTTAAAAGTGATTTGATAAGAAGAATCTCCAACAACCTTATTCCTACTATACCTTCTTATAAAGATAACATGAAGCTGAAAAAGAAAATTGAAACAATTTATCGTATATTAAGAAGAGCCTCAATCCTTAGAGACCGTATATTAATGATGATAAATGCCTTCTATCTTGGACAATTATTAGCAAAAGAAACTTTTTCTCTAGCTCAACATACTTAGTTTAAAGGTATAATTACCAAATATTATTATGCAGCATCCATACGAATCTATTTCATCTTTGAATTTCTAGGATCAGAACAGATTCAATATTTTTGATATCTGAATCTTCCTGGAATATGCTCAATGAAAAAGAAAAATTATCAATCTTTAAGAAAAAAAGTAATGTTGATTTGGTCTAAAGACCAAAATTTAAGGGAGAAAATTGAAACTGACAGAAACTGACAGACCAGTCGTATATGACAAATCTGTCAAATCTGCCATATCTGCCAAATAGGACATACATAATATTTATTATATCTCTATTATTTTTATTACTATTATCATTTATATTATACCTAATATAATTAGTATATTTGTTAGCTCTGTTATTATTGTCAGTAGTATCATATTTACCATAGATTTTCTTAATTATAATTTTCCTATATAAAGGGCATAAAAATTTCTTGGAAAAGTACAGATTCCAGACAGATTCCAACAAGATTCCAACAGATTCCAACAAGTTCTTAACATTATATTTAAAATATATTTAATAACAATAATAAACACTCTTAACATTTTGCAAATATAAAACTTATAATTTATTTCTTGTTAACTAAATAAACTCTAATAAACAGCATATCAAGTTGATTGGATTTAAGTTATAGCTATTGCCTTCCTGACTTCAAATTATAGTTAACTTATTCAACAGAAAGAGTAACGTTAATACCGTTTAAGTTCAAGTAATATATCATTATCAGTTTTATCCTCATTTTCATAATTATCTTTAGGTAAAATATCTGCTTTTATCTAACAATTTTCAATTGTTTTATTTGTAATATTATCCTATACTTATGCAATATATTTTATATATCTATTAATATCAATTTCAAAGGGTTCAATATGGTATTTATTAAATTTATTTAAGCTTTAACCTAATTTTGTAAATAAAGCTTTTGATATTGTGCCTATAATAAGTTTAATTAGAATTAAGTATAAATAAAGTTATGTTAATTATATTTTAACTAAAGAATTATTAAATCAATTACATTTCTTACCTTAAAACTACAGTTCCTGGTATTACGTTAGGTTTCATAACTTCAAATAAAATCTCAAAAGGGGTAAATAAAACTAAGACAATTACTCAAAGAATCATGAGTGAGAATTCACGATAACATCGAAGAATTATTTTCAATAATAAACACGTGAGATTAAACACAAAATAAATACAAAGATAACTCAAAGATATTTCAGAGATTACGCTTCAGAAACTCTAAGTCAATACAGTGAATCAGTACAATATTATATAATAAGTTAACTAACAAAAAGGATTGCATGAATGCAAAGGATCACAGATAATGTATAACAGTTTCAAAGGGTTTGCGAAGGATAAATTTTATATTTGGTTAATTATACTCCTTTATTGATATAATAAATAAGTTCAGTACCTAAAAGATTAAGATCTCGTCAGTGTTGAGACTCAAAGAAAATACAGAGATATTTATACATATTGAATAAATAATAAAATAAACTAAACTAAATATATTGAAGGAAATAAAGTTG